AAAACTACCCGCAAACAATGTGTTAAGGAGACTTCAATCCAGCTGATTATGAAAAGGTAGTGAGAGACAGACGTTAAAATGTCAAGTGCAACAGAACTAGTTCAGGGTGGCTTAACTGATAACCACTGAACATAGGCACAGTTGTCAATCCAAAACCTTATAATGGCAGGGGACCAAGATCCAAAAAAAACTAAGAAACCAAGGTCACTGGGGGTGGGCTAGAGGGAGTCAATGGGGGGGGAGGTGGAAGGGGACATATGTAATACTTTCAAAAATTCTATATAATAAAGAGGTAATATGCAAATTAACCCTCATGCCCTCACAAGATGGCTGCCTATGACCAGGCCAGCAGGGGGATTAGTGAGAAGAAGGAAGAAGGAAGAAGGGAGAAAGAAGAAAGAAGAAGAAAGATCATCCTTGGGTGAAGATTAACAGAAAAGTGGCTAGAGCGTCAGCTTGCGGACTGAAAGGTCCCAGGTTCGATTCCAGTCAAGGGCATGTACCTGGGTTGTGGGCACATCCCCAGTGGGAGATGTGCAGGAGGCAGCTGATTGATGTTTCTCTCTCATCAATGTTTCTAACTCTCTATCTCTCTCCCTTCCTCTCTGTAAAAAATCAATAAAATATATTTTTTAAAAAAGACTTTAAAAACTTAGCCAGTCTAGAACAGAACTCCTGAACTCTACTCAGAAAACTGCTCTGTTAATGACAACTCCATCCTTCCATGTGCTTAAGCCATAAACCTTGGAGTCATTGACTCCTCTCTTTTCACATTCCACGTCCAATCCAACAGCAAGCCCAGAAGGATCAAAATATATCCAATTAGAATCAGAGATATCAATATGAATGCATATCTATATTTACATATAGAAAAGATTATAGGTATGTATGGATACATAGATTAGTACCAGTACACATACATATATCTTCTAGCACTGCCCTCCAAAAGAGCATCTGGCAGCAGTGATCTTTTGGACTGGTGAAGTTCTTTATTGTAGGAATTGCTCTCTGCTATAGGATGTTCAGTAGCATCCCTCATCTTTGATCTGCCTGGCACAGATGGTTGGCTTCTCTTCAGTTGCCTGACCCATTCAGCAGTTCACTACAGAAATGTGGGAAACATCCTAAATTTTCAATCTTGCTCAACCCCATAATCTGATTATTTACCCTGTCCTGTTGACAATACTTCCTAAATTTCTCATACATCCACCCCCTCTTCTACATTCATTATTTTTCACCATGAACAGCTTCCTAACTGGTCTTGCTTCTAGTTTTGCTCTTCTCTAATCCAGCATTCACTTCACAGCCAATATGATAGGTCTACAACACAAATCTAATTCTATCACAGCATTATATTTCCCCCCACTAAATTTCACAGCCTTCGAAACAAAGTTAAAGCTCCTTAGTTTGGTTCATAAGGCATCAGTGATTTAGTTTCTTACCACTTCATCAGCCCCTGTTTTAAAACTGTTCTGTCCACATGTGACTATTGAGCGCCAGGTACTTGAATGTGACTAGCCCAAACTGAGATGTGGTATAATTGCAAAATACATACCAGATTCTGAGGATTTAGTATTAAAAAGCAAATATCAAATATCTCAATGATACTTCCTTATATTGATTACAAGCCAAAAAGATAATATTTTGGATATATCAGGTTAAATAAAATATATTAAGATTAATTTCACTTTTACTGAGAGGGGGAGGGAAAGGGTCAGGGGGAGGGGTAGGGGGAGGGAGACACATCAGAGTGAGAAAGACACATCAACTGGTTGCCCCCTGCACACACCTCGACCAAGCCAGGGATGTAACCTGCAACCAAGGTATGTACCCTTGACCAGGAATGGAACTCTCGAACCTTCGATGCTGAGCCTATCTATTTCTTAATATTAACTCAAGTAACCCACTAAAGATGTATTTTAGGACATTCCCCTGCCCCCAAGACCCCAAATCTTGGTCAACTACCCTCCCCCTCTCTGCTTCCAACCATAAAATTCTGCATATCCCTGTCATATAACACAGTATGTTGTAATTATTGGTTACCAGCTATCTTCTCCTAAATTGTATGCTCCTTGCAAAAAGGGATATCATTCTACATATACTCAGGGCCTACCACCATGTCTATCACTTAAAAAACACTCAAAATATTTGTCAAACAAACGTGAACTATCTATTCCTGGCCTGAAAGTTACTAGAATTTCTCCAAGGAAAACAAACCAGCAAGAAGGAGACTAGACTTTCTATTTATTTTTGTAACTAAAATTTTTTAATGTTGACATTATTGCAGGTATCCCCTTTCCCCTACCTCCACCCACCCAGGGAGCCTACTAGACTTTCCTAGTAATGAAAGGATTGGGGTAGCGGTGGAAAGTAGGAATTACAGTAAAGAGCAATGAGAAAATAAAGCTCATCACAGACACATGCCTCTTACAGGGATAAGGAGCCATGAATTCATACTTGACATGCCAGGGGCCACAGTTTTGTTCCTAAATTATTTAATCCATCCAACAAGAGTTAAAACAACAAATCTCTCATGAAAAATGCTAATCTACGATGTTTCACCATGGAGCCATTTAGAAGAGTTATTATATGTAATGTGCCAGAGCATGAATTTATGGCTGATGCTCACTTGGCAAATGTAGTTGGCACTGCTAGATGTTAAAAAACATGTACGCAAATAAAAGTTTTTAAGCTCTCAGACTTAAATATTTACATTACTATAAATGTACAAAGATAAATGTTTATATGAGTACATATATAACACAGTCCAAGAACTATCTTTTTTAAAATTGATTTTACAGAGGAAAGAAGGAGGGTGGGTTGGGGGGGAGATGGGGTGAAACATCAATGTGAGAGACATATTTCCCCCTACTAGGGAACAAACGGGTAACCTTCCTGTGCACCTGACAAGGCTCCAACCAACTGAGTCACACTGGCCAAGGCTCCAGGAACAATTTATTAATGTGATTGTCACGAACAGTTATGAAGTGGCATTATTTCTTTATGGTCCTCAGGATGGACTCTTAACATTGAATTCTGATAGAATGTGAATGGCATACAAGAATTATCAAGGAAGTTTCTCTGTACTATCACTAGATAAAATGAATAGGCACAGTATCATTATAGGTCAAAGCAACTTTAACTTTTCCTTTTGTCAAAACACTTTTCTTCCCATCCTGGAACCCAGTCACACATAAATGTCAATCCCTAAAATTGGGGTGGGGGGGTAGGGGATAGACCTACACATCTAAAAGCCTTAAAGAAAATGCCCTAACCGGTTTGGCTCAGTGGATAGAGTGTCAGCCTGCGGACTGAAAGGTCGAAGGTTTGATTCCGGTCAAGGGCATGTACCTTGGTTGCAGGCACATCCCCAGTCAGGGGTGTGCAGGAGGCAGCTGATCAATGTTTCTCTCACTATCCCTCTCCCTTCCTCTCTGTAAAAAAATCAATAAAATATATTTTTTAAAAAATAAAAGCCTTAAAGAAAATAATCTGACATTTCTTTCCCACCTAATATAGTCATGTTAGTCTCCAAAATAAAGACATGATAAAATATTTCCTCCTCTTCCCCGCTGACAGTTATGGAAAGATGTTTGTTTTTTCACATAGCTTGTGCATTTGTCATAGCCAAACTTACTAGCAATGGAATGAATCCTGCCTCCATTAATTTCTGGGCTAAGGCTACAACTCCAAATCTGAAGCCAAGAAAATGAACCATTCCTGCCATTATAGTTTATCAAATGAGTCACCAAAGAGAAGTGCTGGGCACTGCAGAAAGTAACTAAGGTGATCAGTGACTTGTACTATCTAGAAATTCCCTGGGATTACAGGAGAAACGACCATGAAGCTGGTATCCAAGACTGTTCATGGAAAGTTTTACCCTGTGGATAATTCCCACACTGCAGAGAGCAATATGGGTTCTCCAACATCACACATCATTTCATTTATCAGGAAAAAAGACATTGTGAGCTAAACAAAAAATTAGTAGGTAGGCCCCAAAAAGAATCCTCAAGGCAATCCCAATTCAGGAGAAAAGCAATTGACATACATCATCCAATGACCTACAAAATAACCTTCTATACAGGTCTCCAAAGATTTAATTCAATGTCTACTCTTATATTTAAACAGAAGCAGAGAAAAATGTATTAGGTTTTCCACAGCAAGGCCAATATAGATGAAATCTAATTTTCCTTTAACTCACGGCCAGCCTTCCAATAACTCCATTTCACAACTCTCAAATTTCTACATTTGGACCTTAAAAATAACAACGGATTGCAAGAAAGTAGCATTTAAAGGTGGGAGGGCTCCTCTTTCCTGTTGCTCTTAAGTCGCCAAGGGACGAAAATCAAAATCATGCTCTCAGCAGGGTGGTGCAAAA